GGGGGGGGGGGGGAGAAGGTGAGACGCGGGCCCACACCCTGGCCAGGCCCCACGCCCATGCGCTGCCATCACTCACTGCTTTGGATCACCTCCATGCCTGCAGCCCCCAAGCCCAGCCACACCTGCAACCAGCTATGTGTTTTCAAATATAATATAAAATATTGCCAGATGATCTCTTTTGTTGACTGTGATTGGATGTTTTCAGCACATCTATCTATGAATTTGAATTACCCAAAAGAGCAATTTCATTGCTGTGTAACAGTCTGACTCTCCATCCCATATTTTACCTTGCTGTAAACTTACCTGTTTTGAGCAGTTATACCAACATACTATCTATGTAAGATAAGCAGATCCACAATATTGATGCTGCTGGAGAAAAGTGTAATGATTACGTCAATGGATAATTATAAAGAAAAGTTAATCATTTTTTTAGGGAAAAACTGAAGATATGATGTTTTCCTCTAGAAACTAGTGCAGACTTTCCTGTGCAATATCTTTGTATGGCTTTAGTTGCCTATTTCTTGGGGAGTTTTGGTATTTCTTGTTGCACAGGTCCTTCTTGTTAAAACCAGCAGTAAAACCAGACCTGCTGTTGCTAGCTTGGTCAATTATGATTACAATCCCAGTTAAAAGAGAAAGACTCTTCTATCTGATAAATGCTTACCAGGTCCACTCCACTTATTTTAGAGTGGTGGAATTGGATTCTTAATAGTAATTATAATAACTAATTAAGAATTATTTAGCACTTAGTGCTGTTCATGTTTAATGCATGTTAGAGGCATTAATTCTTAATTATGATGACTATTGATACATTAAAAACCACATAAGCCTTCTAATGTTAGTTTTCAGGATCTTTTACATCAAAGTCAAATCCTATAATTGAATACAGCCTCTAGCAGTCTCATCGGGAGCTCAGCTCTGAAGGTTTCAAAGGGACTGGGAGGATGTTCCCTTCACAACTCAGGGGCATCCCCATACTCTATGGGGATGCCAAGAGCTATCATTTCATTGGCTCTTCACTAGCCACATCTTAGGTACATATACATACTTGCAGAAAGGGGCACCATAGATCATGTCACCACAGAACACAGCTTGCAAAGTCCCCTTGTATCATCCCTACCTCACAATTAATCACATAGATTTCACTATGATCTGCTTGGTTTGCAGAGCATGGGCTTGCATTTGGA